TAAGTCACGCAACTTATTGGTATCAGAAACAAAAAAGAAAAATTGAAATTTGTTTTATTGTTTCCTGAACTCTATTTTGTCGTGTCTTTTCCGGAACGATTTTGCAAAAGACTAACTTTGGACTGTTTTAACTTATGATTACTTTTTACTAATATTTTGATCATCGGATCTTTTGTTTTGGAAAATCTCCTCACTGCCACCCAAATATGACTGAAAGAGAAAGAATGTTAGTGTTGTCAGCAACAATCCCTAAAGAAATACATTACCGCAATCATGTAGATTTAGCAAAAAGCTCTTACAAGTATTTTAAGTTTTACCATGAGTTGGTCAATCTCTGTATTTAATACATAATAATAATCATAATGAAATCGTTTATGCCATGTTCTTAACAACTCTTTCCACTATGCCCACTTTCACTGATTTTATTTCGGCATGAAGACCTCACTGATCAGGACAAATTCATCACAGCTTAAGTGCCAAATTTATGGTAAATATTTAGAAGTTACTAACTTTAAATTAGGGTACCTAATACAACTGAAACCTAACCTTAATACAGCTTGAAATCCTCATTAATTATAATGAATTTATCATAGAACAGGATGGAACTTTAATTTTAAATTAAATACATGTAAATTTGTATACAGAAATAAAGTTAAGTTTGATTTATATATAAGTTAAAACACACAATTGTGCTGAATCCTTAAACTGATAAGCTTGAAATCCTCATGACCTGTATGTAATCTTCACAAGTTTATCCCAACTGTATAAATAGCTTCTCTCACAACGTTATTAATTTAATTTTGAAACACTGGGCTGGTTTTACTTTTAGCATCAGATGTAACTGGGAGGTGAGAGTCACCCCATTTCTCAAAGTTATAACTACCATCAACCACCTTCGATTTATAAGGCGTAGGGTGGTTTTGCGAGATGTAAGCAGGACACTACAATAATATCGTGATCATCTCATCGCTGGCATGCAAACAAGGCTGAAAGAGAAAGAATGTTGAGGAAAGTCAGCAGACATTTCCAAAGAAAGGCATTACCTCAATCATGGAGATTTAGCAAGAAGCTTTTACGAGTATTTTAAGTTTTACCATGAGTTAGTCAATCTGTGTATTTAATACAATAATTTAATTCTTCATAAACAATATGAATAAATGTCTACATATCAGGAAAAGGAAAGATTTAAAAAATAAACTTGCCTGTTAACAAATCAAGGACATTTAAATGTTATGACATTACATAATCTAAAATTCACATTATAAGAAATCCATCAGTTCAGTAGTTACATATAGCAAATATTTCGCTAGAAATAAAGAAAGAGTACTCAACTGTTATGCGATATCAGTGCTGCTATTTACCCATAGATGGGGGGAAAGGAAGAGAATTCATACCTTTCCCAAGTGTATTAGCACATAAGTGAATGTAATGGATTTAACTAGAATTCGATCCTCTAATTCAGAGCCGCTGTCTATTACTCCACGGTTCCTCCTTTCAATTATTCAGAAACAATTAATATCAACAAATGTCTACATATCAGGAAAAGGAAAGGTTTAAAAAATAAACATGCCTGTTAACAAATCAAGTACATTTAAATGTTATGAGATTAGATAATTTAAAATTCAGATTATAAGAAATCCATCAGTTCAGTAGTTACAGATAGCAAATATTTCGCTAGAAATAAAGAAAAAATACTCACCTGTTACGCAATATCAGTGCTGCTATATGGCCTTTACCCATAGCTGGGGAGGAAGATTCATACCTTTCCCAAGGGTATAAGCACGTAAGTGAATATAATGGATGTGACTGGAACTCGAACTAGGCTCTCCGATTCCTCAATCCGAGCCGATATCAATTAATCCACCGTTTCTCCTTTAAATTATTCATAAACAGGTAATATGAACAAATGTCTACAGATCGGGAAAAGTAAAGGCTTATAAAATAACCTTATCTGTTAACAAATCTACATTTAAAAGTTATGACATTGGATATTTTAAAATTCAGATTATAAAGAATCTCTCATTTAAGTAGTTGCAGATATCAAATATTTCGTTAGAAATAAAGAAAAGTCTATTCAACTGTTACGCGATATCAGTCCTGCTATATGGCATTGAATGCTCAACAATCACCTCAAAGGTGAAGATGAGACTTGAAGAATCAGTAATATGGTTTTACAGAAGGATGATGAGAATACCATGGACTATTTATGTTAGCTACGTCGAAGTTTTAGATAAAATGGAAACAAAATAAAAACTTATTTCTTAATCATTTCAAGCATAGCAATGAAGCCACTAGGACATAAGGGGTTACTGAATGTTAGAGAATATTAGAAAAAGCAATATTAAGGAAAGATCGCAACAACAAAAAAAAAAGAATTAAGAAGACAGCAGATAAGTGAGGAAACCATGGACTGAACACGCGAGCAACGGTGAAGATTTAGAGAAAATAGGAACAAAAAAAAAATTATACTTAACAAGAAGAAGAGATTCTTTAAATTTTGTAAGTCCCAATCTGATACTGACAGGACAGGTTGGCGGCAAGAGGTTACAGACGAAAACAACCCATAACCTATTTAGTGAGCTTGAGTAAATGAATGACGAAACAAATTTTAAGAGAAATAACAAATTTATTAAGAGCTATGAAGGACAGGAAATTGTGGAGAGCCATGATTGTCTCCGTTCTGAAGGTACATAGCACATAAAGAAGTTTATTTATACATATTAGATTGTTAAATTAACTTTGCGCAGTTTATACCCCGATTCGAATTTCTTTTCAAATACTTATGTATACCAGTTCTAAATTCTAAATAAGTAAAACAAGGATGCTCGTTGAAAGTTTGGTGGTAGATAAGAACAAGTCTTCGTTCGCCATTGACATGACATATAATGTTAAAGGGAGTTTTTTTTTTAAGACTATCAACACAATAAATAATAAACGAGCAAAACCTCCGGCAGAGTCTGCTTCTGATTTCTTATTAAAACGTTATTTTGCTGCTTATAAGATGTTCCGATGTATTACACACTCACAAACTTGAATGAAAGGGAAAGAATTGATGAGGGATCCAAGCAACCGTTCTCAAAAAAAAAAAAAATACATTATTTGAAACAGTTTCAGTAAGAAGCTATTACAGCCATATTAAATCTTGATAGGAACTCGTCAATTCGTTTATTCATCAAACCAATTTTAACTCATTGTAAACAAATAATATGAAGAACTATCTGCACATCCTAAAAAGTGAAGAGCAATAAACAACGCCATTTCAACACAACATTGTCATTATCACTGACACGCACGCCCGATCCATCTTCCTTCATTCAGATAAATTCGCACAGGCAACTTAGTTCTTTTTTATACATTTTATTAAAATTTGAGATCATTTGAGCGAGAATTCGCTATGTTATTAGGCTGTAAAATGATTCCAATTTTGGAGGCACACTCTGTATAATACCCCCAGCCAATTTAGGAGAATAGTGTGCAAAATTTCATTAAACTTAGACAAGGTCTTCTTGAGCTAGGGCCGTTTTTCAGTTTTTAGGGAAATTTGAATAGGAAATTGTTTAATACACATTCTTATATCAAGCTGCGTATATAATCAAGCCCTTGCATATTATTATCCAACTATTATGAGAGTGAAAATAATGAACATGCATTAAATCATACATTATAGCAACATTATTAAATAAATTTATATATTCATATAATTCATTACATTCCATTACAACGTTTTTATAAATAAACATCTCGGATATTTGGCAAGGACTAGATAGATAAAGAGGCGATGGAGGTGTCATTGTAAAATTTAATCTGCATTTGCTGTAAAATTGTGTCACGTGATTTGATGATAAATAAATAGATGCACAATGTTTTCACCTTTTTACGTAATTTGAAATACATGTGACGAAGAAACAAATACGTATAATAAAATATAATTTAAAAAAATATACATATCAAAATGATACCAAGTGCAAAAAAAGTAGGCATTCATATTTATGTTATTTCAATAAATTTCCCTTAACAGACGATTTTCCTTATTTTTGTGTGGGGGTAGGGCCCGATGACCTTGACCATTGAAAATTGTAATATAGTAAATACTGCAACTGGTATAAATTATCAAACGGGGGCGACTATTACCTGAATTAAAAGGCCTTTAGTGTGATATCAGTTGTAAGTGTTAACCATGTTTGCCGTAGTCTCTGAATATGGAATCCAGTGAAGTCCTTAATCTGTTCAATATCAGAGGTCGGCACTGAAGATTCAGAGAAAGTAGCGGTTGTTAAGCAATTCTTTAAGTCTTCGATATCAGGTTGGCAGTGAGGATAACTTGGGAGAAAAAAACAAAATGGCTACATTTATACACGTCGCATTGAATATTTTGAGCTTTCTGATTGGTTAACCCTCCTATTCCTGGACTATAAAATGAGTCAGCTCATTTTGACTGGCTCACTAGTAAACAATACACAAAAAACTGCAACAGTAATTCCGTTATTAAAAAAAGTAAACTCTTTCCTACGTTTAAGGGGAATGTTTTCCTCTTCTGACCAGTTAAGTGTTATTCGTAAAATACATATATGAATTGTAAAAAATTAATAAATTTATTTCAATGATATAATAATAATTGTAATGTTTTGTCGTTTTTTCTCTTGTTTTGTGTATTAGAGACTGAATTTCTTTTATAAATTCTGAAAATCTTTCCATTTATTATTGCGTTTGATCTAAGTAATTATTATTACAATAAGTTGCATTGTGAATTAAGATATGTGTACTTAATAATAAAGTTGATAACATTGTTACCTCTTAATCTTTAACATGAACTGATAGATAGATAGATAGATAGATAGATAGATAGATAGATAGATAGATAGATAGATAGTATGGCATAGATCGACGGACTGTCATAGATAGATAGATAGATAGATAGATAGATAGGTAGATAGTATGGCATAGATCGACAGACTGTCATAGATAGATAGATAGATAGTATGGCATAGATCGACGGACTGTCATAGATAGATAGATAGATAGATAGATAGATAGATAGATAGATAATGGGTGATATTGTAAGAATTAAAAATGTAAAATGTTTTCAAATCTACTATACTTCAATTGGGGTGGTGACAATAACAGACTGTCATAGATAGATAGATAGATAGATAGATAGATAGATAGATAGGGGGATATTGTAAGAAATAAAAATGTAAAATGTTTTCAAATCTACTATACTTCAATTGGGGTGGTGACAATAACAGAAACCAATTCACTTGAGGGCTCTCGACAACAACATCAACCAAAATGGAGAGCACGAAGGGAAAATAAGAACATAATCAAGATGATGACATTGAACACTTCTTCAAATAAAAGGTTTGAAAGGAAACCCCCATTAATACTGGAAAGAGCGATAACGATTAGTCGACTTGAAAAACTTATTTTCTTAAAGGACTATTTTACGAAAATAATCTTAAAATTTCATATATATATATATATATATATATATATATATATGTGTGTGTGTGTGTGTGTGTGTGTGTGTGTGTGTGTGTGTTTGCATTTATCTGCCTATATTGATATATTGTCTCGATGTAAAATTTTGGCATTGAATTATTTATTCTGGACTGGCCATCTCGTCAGAATGTGTAATGATATAATTCACAAATTCCTCGTGCACAGCCAGCTTCACTATGACAAAAGAGCCCGATTAAAACCGTGGCTAAAATACAAAGACGAATTGAAATGGACAAATATTCTTCCAGAAACATTAGAGAAAATGTACTGAATCACAAAGATTTGACGTTACCTTGCTATAAAGATGTTTAAATAAACCGTCTAGATCATCTTAAAGAATTTGTGTTTGTAATGGAGCAAAAGGTCAAGTGTTTTGGAGGTATTTATTTAAGACACTGCACTTACAATAATCAATACGTCTATCAAGGCATACAATAATAAGAATTCTTCAAATGAAAAATATCAAGATGACTGACAGGCTCATAATGACTTACAGATTTTTGCATGACGATATATCAGTGAAGGTATAGAAAAATTCCTAACGCAGTCCACTTTCAAAAAGGAGTATTTCATTGGCCAAAATTCAGCATACTGCTCTTACGAAGTGTCTAGGTTGAAAATAACATTTCAATATTCACGCCGTTCTAACTGTTAAGATCATGTAGCGGCTTCATTCTTTTTTATATTGTTTGAAAAAGTTATGACTTAAATCTAGAACTATTATTATAGATTCGCAAGAAAATTTCAAATACGTATGATATTTTATTTTGTGAAGGTTTCATAGAATGAATCGCGGTGTTAAAAAAAAAGACTTTTTTTTCCACATGCATGAATAAAATACAAAGAAAACTTATATAACGACAGAATGTGCTAGTGCATTTTTACTGAAAAGAAACAAAAAAAACTAGTCGTACGAGAAGAAGCCGATGCAGAGCTGTGTTTCAGAAAATAATTAAAAAGCACGAATGGTGAAAACAGGAAAAAAGAAGGAGTAAGGATATGAAATAGGAAAAGAGAAGAAAAAAGAAAAAAAAAGTTCGTTTAAACGCTTCAAACAAAGCTGCAAGATAATTGCCAATTTGATGTGTCTGCATGCCTGTATATGTGTTTGCGTCTCTGTGTGTTTGTGTTAACCAGCGCAGGTGTCAGATTAGGAAGTGACGAATATTCATTAGTAAAACATGTTTTACGAAGAAATATGTTATACATGAATTGTCTTTATTTATTGATGAGCTGCAAGGCCAGATTGGAATACACGATTCTGTCGAGAATAAGTGGTTTATATTCCAGTGTCTTAACCCTTCGGGCACTGCGTTGCTGAATAATTTTAACCCTTCTGCCCGAGCTCCTGGGTCAAAAGTCACAAATAATAGGTATGTAATGTTGTACGATAGATATAAGAATAGTTAGAAGTGTTTAACCACCATTCAACCGGTGGCTGGGCATTGCGTCATCTTTCTCTACCACCGATAAAGCGGTGATCAAGCCTCAAAGAGTTAACCCAACGCCAGCTCTCTCTCTCTCTCTCTCTCTATATATATATATATATATATAGAGAGAGAGAGAGAGGGAGAGAGAGAGATGTGTATATATATATATATATGTGTGTGTGTGTGTGAAAGTGTATGTATATATATATATATATATATATATATATATATTTATTTATATATTATATGCGGGTACTTATTAGAAAGCGCTCAATATCAGAGATAGAGCAAACATGTTTGTCTGACGATCACAAAAGCGTGAAACCCAGGGTCACAAACTCACATCAATCCAACCGAATATATATATATATATATATATATATATATATATATATATATATGTGTGTGTGTATATATATATATTAAAACTGTGTGTGTGTGTGTGTGTGTGTGTGTGTGTGTGTGTATAAATTAAAACTTCACTGAAAACCAGTACATTTGGACAAGGAAGAAGAAGAAGAAGAAGAAGAAGAAGAAGAAGAAGAAAATAAGAAAACTGAAAGAGGAAGAGAAATATATACATCTAGAACAAACATTTTAAACTGATGATTTCAAAAGTTAAGAATTGATAGAGTTTACATACGAAGACGATTTTAGATCACAACATTCTATGGTCAATCATTGAAGGCTTATCGGCAAATTGCGACGCGCTTAAAGAGGCGGAGGTGGAGGGTCCTTTTAGATTTTTATGGTTGAAATAAACCTCCTATATTTCTTCCGCGCTGGGGTTGAGAGGTCAGACGGATAAGAAAGAAATATATTGTCTACCTAAATCTACATTCAAATTGTACAAACTTTAATGAATTTTACATCTCACGCTCTCTCTCTCTCTCTCTCTCTCTCTTTCTCACTCTCTCTTTCTTTCTCTCTTTCTCTTTATCCCCATCTTTCTTTCTCTCTTTCTCTGTCTCCTTTTCTCTCTCTTTCTTTCTCTTTAAGGTATATACAGAAAAGACACTCTTTAACTGATTCGTCAGTAACCGGATTGACCAGTAAAATTGAAAAAACAATAAATGCAACTATCGTTGGGAAAATATTTCTAAATTAATCAAAATTAAAAAATACATTTTCAGTGCAATAAGAACAACCACACTTGCACAGGAAGGATTAATAATAATAATAATAATAATAATATTTTATCCTTGCTGCACAGGACCAATGCTTGCTAACTAGGAATTATTAAAAAATATTATTACTAAAATATTGTGTCAGCCCAAAATGCAGATTCTGTGTTAAATATCCAGGAACGATTGATCATCTTGTATCAGGTTGCACGATATTGGCACCCACTGAATATAAAACCCGGCATGACAGAGTGGGCCAATATCTGCACTGGAAAATCTGCAACTTCTACGGGAAGAAAACTGAAAGAAACTGGTATAAACAGCAACCAGACCCGGTTACAGAGATAGGACCTGTTACAATTCTATGGGACTACACAATACACACTGACAGAACAATCAAAGCCAACCGGCCAGATATTGTTATTAAAGACCACAAACAAAAACGGTGCCTCCTCGTTGATATGGCAGTCTCTGCTGACTGCAATGTATCTTTGAAGATATTCAAAATTTGTCAAAATACAAGGACCTTGAAATAGAAATCTCGAAAATGTGGCATATGGGAACATCAACAATCCCTGTTGTAGTTGGAGCCCTAGGACTGGTTGGAAAAGATTGCAGTAGACTAATTGAAGTCCATGCCTCAAGGAGATACAAAAAATTGTTCTGACAAGTACAGCATACACTTTACGAAGGGCTTTATCTATGCAATTTTTTTTTTTTTTTTTTTTTTGTCAGTGGAAAATGTCATGATGCCATTTCTAAACTTCGGTCCCTGGGCGGGACCCGGAAAGAAATGTGTAAACGCCAGAAATCAAAGAAAATAAAAATATTAATAATAACAATAATAATAATAATAATAATAATAATAATTATTATTATTATTATTATTATTAATATTATTATTATAATTATTATTATTATTATAAGTAAGGACTAGAAATTGCAGAAGAGTCAAAAGAAAATACAAACTCAGCTAAAGAAAAAATAAATCAATTAGCACAATTGAATGTTGAAAGAATCAGGCTCTATGAAAAAAGATTAAGATTCTACAGACAGAACAAAACCTTTCAAATCGATGCGAAAATATTTTACGGGGGAAAATGAAGGGACAACTCTCACACGCCCCTAACAATGGAAGAGGTTATACAGTTCCGGGTAAAATATGGGCTTGCCCTAAAGAACATAACAAAGAAGCAGATTATTGGATTACGAAAGATGGCGAACTGATGAAAAATAAACCAGAACAAACATGGGTAGAAATCATAAAGAGGATGTTGAATGTGTTCGAAAAAAAAAGTACACAGCTAAAAAAAAACCAGGAATAGATAAAATTCCTAACTTTTAGCTCTATTATCTAAATACAACACATAAAATACTAGTCAAAGAACTTCAAGAAATATTCAATGATCCTACCAAAATTCTGGTATGGATAACCAAAGGAATGATTACACAAATGTCCCCCAAACTACAGACCAATTACATGTCTTCTCACTACTTACAAACTGTTGACATCTGTTCTGACAAAACAGATGTACTCCCTCTTTAAATAAAAATGACATACTACATCTTGAACAAAAAGGGTGAAAACGTGGCTCTTTTAGGTACAAGTTGTCACCCGTCGTCATCAATTACATCAAAGTATGTCGATATGGAAAACAACACTTCACCTCAATCATACAAATGGATTCTATAAGTCTGGTGGAATAGACATCAACTGAGGAATATTTCAAGGTCACTCTTTGTCTCCTTTACTGTTTTGTATACTCCTGTTCGCATTAACAAACGAACTTAATAGTACGGAATATGGCTATAAGAAAATAAACCATCTATTTTACATGGATGACATGGAAGTTGTATGCTAGGAATGACAACCAGCTGGAAGGACTGCTGAAAACAATAAATTTTTTCCGTGATGACATTGGAATCGAATTTGGTTTCGATAAATGTGCTAAAACCACAATTTTAAGAAGAAAACTACAACAAAAATCCTCCATTAGCTTAGACCCTGGGGTAAAAATCAAAGTTTTAGAGTAAGGAGAATCTTATAATCACCTCAGTGTAAATGACGGTGAAGTAATTCACAATAAATAATAAAAGAAATAGTTCGAAAGGCGTACTATAGAAGGCTGCGACTGATATTAAGAACTGGACAGAATTCTCAGAACAGAATAATGGCCATTAATAACCTTGCCATCCCAGTTGTTCAATATAGTCGCAACGCCTAAATAACATCAAACGAGTGGATTTTAAGACAAGAAAGATTCATTCTAAACATAACATTACCGTAAAGAAGGTGGAAGAGGTCTAATTTATCAAGAAATGACTTACAAGACAACAACTATTGGATTACTAACATACATGAAAACAACAAAGATTTGGAGGATACAATTATTCAAACCACATGGCTGATTAAGTCGCAGTCATCGGCATCAAGATGACCACAGCAAAGAACTTGAAATATATATATATATATATATATATATATATATATATATATATATATTAAGAAATGGACAAGGTCCGACAATTTATTTATTAAAGATACTTTTATGTTTAACGTTGTTTTTTTATAGATACAAGTATTTAAGTAAATGCTCTGTTTATGATAAACAGTATTAAATAACATTTACCGGCCTGAATGTCCGAGAAATTTTCATAGAAAATATTCGTTCTTTGACAGGATTCGAACCTGCATCCTATACGGAACCGTCATTTACGCTGACGTGCCTTACAGTTCGGCTACAAAGAAAGAAAATTTCTCGGACAGAGCAGTTATGAATGTACGAGATTCATGGAAGATTGAAGTTTATAAGCAGTAAATTCGACCTTGTCTACCGAACGATTCTTTGTAGCCGAACGGTAAGGCACGTCAGCGTAAATGACGGTTCCGTATAGGATGCAGGTTCGAATCCTGTCAAAGAACGAATATTTTCTATGTAAATTTCTCGGACATTCAGGCCGGTAAATGTTATTTAATACTGTTTATTATAAACAGAGCATTTACTTAAATACTTGTATCTATAAAAAAGAACGTTAAACATAAAAATGTCTTTAATAAATATATATATATATATATATATATATATATATATATATATACATTAAAGTGTCTGAGAGAGATAGATAAGAACAAACTGAAATAGATAGATAGATAGATAAGAAACTGAAAAAGATAGATAGATAGATAGATACTTTAATACTTATCAGGTCTAAGTATTCAGAAATCGAAATTACCGAATAAAATTAGCCGAAATAAAGAAATAATATTCTATAAGCAGTTAATCGAGAAAAGTCAGATTAACCAAAATGTCAGATTAAAGACATAATAATATATAGATTAATGTAATCCAGTATCTCGCGCTCTTTACTCAATTTTCTCGTGGACCTTGACTAAAATCAATCCATATACTGCGAATATTCCCCATTGTTCTTTAACAAAACTCTATTACCCCCCACACACACATATATATATATATATATATATAGATATAGATAGATAGATATAGATAAATAGATAGCCGAGAATACTTAAAGACAAAAAAAAGATGATCACTATAAAATATTATAAATACATATACCAAAATTGCACAAAAATAATTTGAAATACGAAAGAGTAAATTTATTCAATAAAATCGTCATTGATTCAACCACAGCCTTCAGACGACTTCAGAATCTCCTGCAGCTTTCTGGGCGGTCTCCTCTTTTAAGTTGATGAATTCTGCCATAATCTTTGCCTTTAGTTCATCTTTAGTTTTACAAGGTGTTTTATTGGTATCTCGCTCATCGGTGTTCCATACATAATAATCAAGGGGGGTTGTAGTCTGGGGAGTTAGGTGGCCAGATGTAAGGGGTGATGTAGTCGCAGAAATTGTCTAACAGCCATGACTGGGTTCGCCTGCTTGTGTGGCATTGTGCGGATTCTTGTGGCCAAACACAGGGTCTTCGAGTAGCCACCATCTTGACCCAGGGCCCTTTGTGTAGGTCTTTGTATTGAGTCAAAGGTCCTCAACAACAAATTCGAGAGTTCTTTTCTCATCAGAGTTTTCCAAGTTGCCGTATCTTCGTAATCACTATTAGAGACATCCAACTCTTTCCAAATCCTCTGCACTGTCAGTCAGATTGACACCCAGACACTATGAAATGTTGTTATTGAAGTTTCCGGTGCGAATGCCAAGCAGTACAGCATACCGTTTCCAGATTTCTGGAGGGGTGAATTATGTCATGGTGCGCGCTTTCTCACGGATGGTGCCGAACTGACCTTACTATCCTCTGCAGTTAACCAAAATCAAAAGCAAACAACGCGCATGCGCGAAATTAAAAATATAAAATGACGGCAAATTAGGCATCACACTCTGTATCTACTAAACAAAAAATTGTTCTAGGGAGATGTCAGAACACTTAACTCGTTGCCAACAGTTAGAGAATATAAAGCAAAAAAATGAATGCCGTTTTGTCTTGTGTATTATACAAAATATCTTAATTACCGGCCAATAAATAAAAAGAAAGGAAGTGACAGAAACTCGTAGTAAAAGTACTAAAGGAAAGCGATTGTCAAAAAAAGGGGTGTATGATTGTCGTCGGGACTCTCAACATGCTAATTGACAATAGGGAACAGCAAAATGACACATGTACAAAATTGTAATATCTAAATGATGCCTTTCAAAAGCTAAGCAACGTATTAAGAAACAGAAATGTTACATTAGAAACAAAGAAAAATGTAATAATCTTCTATATGGCATTGGATATTGGACAATCTCATCACAATAGGAATTATGCTGAGAATACAATGGGCTGAACATGTGAAGAACGGCGAAGTTTTAGAGAAAATGGAGAAAAAAAATTACATGTCCTTAGCATCATCAAAAAGAATGGCTTAAAACTTCTAGGACGCATGATGAAAGAGGGCTTAGAAACTATGACACTCACAAGAAATATGAAAGCCAAGAGGGACCGAAAAAATCACTGCATAACCTACATAACGACCTTGTGTAAATCATTGACAAAACAAAAATTAGAAGAGATTGCAAAAAGTAAATAATTACCGAGAGATACAAAGGACAGAAAATTGCGGAGAGCCATGATTACCCAGGTCCTGAAGGGAGACTGTACACAGAAGAAAAGATATATCTATCTGGTTTATCCGTATGAAATTCTTACGTTATTAAAGTCGTCACCCTAAGTGTTAGTAAAGCCAACCAATGCGTTTATAGTTGGTAATAATGTTATCATTAAGTTTTCAATGTATTTTTTATTAACAGCTATAAAAACACGCCTAAAACATTAAATTGCATCGCCATCTTTCTTTGGATCCATTCTTAACGAATTATATCTATCTAATACAAAGAATACATCCTTATAGATATCAACCATAAATTAGAACTTTGACACCCAGCTGCGCAGGCTGACCGCACAAAGGTGAAGAGAAAAATCCCGCAAGACACACACACAATTATAAATAATACGTTACCATCTGATGCCCACTTAGACATACAAGAATCTTCACAAATCTGCATACGGATAGAATTATCTAAGGTTTCAAGACACATAACACGTATCTGACGAATGAAAACTGATCCAAACATAATTGATAATACCAGTCATTTTATCTGTTTTCTCTCAATCTCTGACGAAGCTTTATTTAAAGTGAAGCATGTTATATTGATATACATTTCCTAAAGGCTTAAATGTTTTATTTCACATCCAAGCTGCTTAGTAATAATCGAAGAGTTTCGATCCTGGGATTTGCGGTTAAATAAATAGGATAATCGGAACAAAACGAAAGACTTGAAAAACGTAATTAACATTGTTCTATCAAAGTATAAATTCAGTTGTTTTTTTCTTTCATGTTTCAATTCTCTTTAAGCCTCTATCAAGTCCACTTGAGGAAGCCCGAAGACTCGGCTAATCATAATGTTGCATCCAGTTCAAACGGCAAAAAGGTACGAGTCCGAAAAAAATCTAAGAAAAGTACTATGAAATCAAGTAAAAAGTAATTAGTGCCTCCATGATATAAAATTGCCTTCTTCTCGCACGACCGTGATATCAGACGTCAATGCGTAATTTCAATTACTGTCGGGAATGTTGCTAAGAGTTACCAGCTAATTATAAAATATAAAACCAGAAGCTGACAGATCTATGACAAGGTAAAAATGGATAAAACATCAAGAAAGCTTCCATGTGAAATTCTCCCGGATATAAAATTAAGACGTATTCATATTATCACCCGGTGACCCGTGTTGCAGTACGCCAAGGAACTAGGCGTGGTGTTCGTATCACGTGGAAGACGCATAATTGCGAAAACCTTATATGGGGCAGATTCCAAGGTTAAATGTCATCCGCGTATGAGTTGCGTGCAGTACTGTTAAAGCCGTTGACATGAAGTATACATTCGAGCGGCTCTCTAAAGTGGGTTTAATTGAAAGCGGGATTATAAAAAAAGGAAAAGAAAAAAGCGAGAAGGCTGTTTAACTAAATACTATTCTCTTTTACGTTCGATAACTCTCAGATCTGAGCTGAACGGATGAATGTGTAGGTGTCTCAACGGCTATCGGCGCAGAAAGTGTAATCGGTGAGTCGAGTTCAAATTCTTTCCCTAGTCGGTTTCATTAACTTTCGCAGAAGTGTCCTTGGAAATGGCAGAAATTCGTCTCTTTTTCTCCCATCCAGTTACAGTCAAAATAGCAAAGTAGGAAAGATTAACACTCCGCCGAGGCAAACGACGTTAAAGAATCCAAACCAGGAAATTCACAGCTCGTAAAGAAAAAAAGTATTCAAATGCTATTTAATATCAGCCAATATATATATATATATATATATATATATATATATATATATATATATATATATGTGTGTGTGTGTGTGTGTATTACAGTATAAACATGACCGCTCACTTATCAGTGTACAGCAGAGTGGAACAGAGAGCAATGATCCGAATCTGCAGAGAACATTTTACCGCATCGAAGCTAACCTTGCAGTCCCCAACCCCCCCTCTCGAGCTTGCTGAATATTGTCGTATGTGGTGGCGATTGACAGTACGCTCTGAGCTCCTTAGTGCGTCTCGCTTCTTCGACTACATTTAATCTTCTCGATACCCGCGGTAGTGAATATTGCTGTATTGTGTTAAAAGCTGCCAACGAATTTCAGCCCCTGACACTTTCCGACCAGAGAAATAAGATCACTTCTCTCAGTTGCTACTTGGTGTACACTGCTAGCGGAGCGGTCATGTTTACACTGCAACAGCAACAAGAAAACTAAGGCGATGAAGCTCAAACTTCAAATAAGGCAGTGTGACAAATAAAAGATATGTTATGGCGAACGTGAGAATAATTTTTGACTTACATTAATATATATATATATATATATATATATATATATGAAGAAATATAGTCTTAAGATGTGCTATATTTATGGGATAAAGTGCTCAATATCAGAGATGGAGCGTGTGTAAATATAAAAGTGATCATAGACTAACTAAACTAATACGGGTCAGTGGTGCATTGTGGGTAGTCTATTTTGGCGGTTATTTTACTAACTAAACTAATTTACTTTTACTAACTAAACTAAACTAAAATAACCGCCAAAAATAGACTACCCACAATGCACCACTGACCCGTATATATACAAATAGCCGAGAAAAATAACAGCACTCGTGGCCTGACGATTGCATATAGCATGAAACAGACTGTCGCCTCTAAATGTTGACTTCTATGTTCACTTTTATATATATATATATATATATATATATATATAAAAACGTTTAGCCTTTTCTTATATTTCATTTCCTCACATGCGTACATTTCTTTTATGGGATACAGTGTGTATAAGAACTGCCTAAATAATCCTTGGCTTTGATTACAATATGCTGTGCATTTTCGGTAATTAAAACGTTTTTATTGTTATGTGAGTAAATTTGAAATATTGATTAACCAGAGTTACCCATTTTGTTCTATCTAAAATATCGATAGGTAATTCAAAAATAAAAATCAATTTCTAGTGAGGTGCACTCAGTACACAGTTGCATGCAACATTTTTTAATCACACGTATCGAAGGTGGTAATAGGAAAAAGATATCAGTTTTTTTTTTCTGATATCAAATGCATAATGTTTAAAAGCAGATATCTCTACACAAACACGTATATTCATTAAATATTACATATGTTGTAATTATATGCTGTCTATATACCGGGTGAAGCAGGAAAAAGTGTCCAAA